ATACAAGTGTGTGGACTTCAGGGCTATATTATATCAAGTTCGAAGCCTTTAGGAAAGTCTATCTTTTCTGTACTGGATTAGAATCTTGATTAATACTCCCATTCATGGTAAAAAAAAATATGCTTATCTCTTACCTAAAAGTTTCTGCTAAATTTTCTGTATTTTCCCTTGGAAATACTGGAACAATGGTTAAGTGGGTAATGCTCACCAGAGAGATAATCTTTCCTCATACAAATACAGGGAGCTCTGTAGAGCTCCATAGAGAGTTTTATTGGTAACCGACAGGCTGCAATTCTCTGACAGTTCGAATCTATGCGGGGCTTCTCAGGAGAAAGATGCGCAATCTTGTGTCGTTTACAGCCTCCCAGAACCCACTGCAATGTCAGCTATGATTTGGTTCCAGCTCACTGGCAATGAATTTTTGAGTTATAGAAATACATGACAATCAGCACTAAAATTTCTTTTTGTTTTCTCTTTCCATTCCACTACACACAATCAAAGCAGCTTTTAAAAGTTTGATTTTGACAGTATCAAAAGAATAGTTCTTTTTATTATTGACTTGAATAGCAGCTGCCAATAGTGCTCAACAAAACACTTAAACTAATAGGTTTGGAAGCATAGCGATTAGTGTGTTTTCAAGGCAATCATCTTTGCTTTCATTTATTAGTACACACACACAAGATGCTCATAGAGCTGACTGGAATGATGGGAAAAGTAATATGGGAGGGCAAAGTGCAGCAAAGTTACAAGTGTTTAAAGAATTCTGGAAATGTTTTAGTTTTGATTCCCATTATAATTAGGTTCCTAGCAGATGGAGAGAATTTAAATCATATCCTAGTAGGAAACAGACACTGAGTTCTCCAAGATACACAACATGCTGAAAAAGACAGTTGCTTTTATCCTAGGGAGATGACAGCCTGGCTTTGTGGTTGTTGAATATATAAAAAAATAATATTGTATACTGTTCATTACAGCTTTCCTCTCCCAGAGTGAGCAAAGAATAAAGGGGAACATAATTAAATGGTTTGGTTCCAACAGTCCATGGAAAGCAGTTATTTACCTATAAGGGAAAGGTTGCTAAATCTGGAGAGGTGAAAATGGCTTATCTTTAATTGTGGTAGAGGCTTAAATGCTGGGCAGAAAAGTGTTGTTGTGTTGTTTTTGTTGTGTGCCCTCAGACAAAATCGACCCATAGCTGAACCTCCAACAGGTTTTCCGAGGTAGTTAACTGTATGTGAATAGATTGCCCATCCTTCTCTGAGGAGCAGCTCATGTATTCAAACCATGTGCCTTTGGGACTGCAGTGCAGTGTCTTACCTCTAATCCATTAGAGAGAAGAAACTGAGTTATAGTTAATTGTTTATTTTTATAGGAACAGCATTGTGGGTGTCTGTTTTGTCATTATTTAGATTAACAAGTACTAGTGTAATGTCAAGAAGACAAAGATTCTCACCACTGGACCAATTGGCAGCATCAGGATGGATGGTGAAGAGATTGAGATAATTCACAGCTTTAGTCGGCTTGGCTCCACAATCAACACTCTTGGCACCAGCAGCCAGGAAATTAAAAGACGTATTGCGATGGGAAAGTCTGCTGTTAGGGACCTCTCCAAAGTACTGAAGAGCAATGGTGTCTCTCTGGAGACTAAGGTGTGTCTGGTACAGGCCATGGTCTTTGCAATCACTTGTTATGTGTCGGAGAGCTGGCCAATGACCAGGGAGGATAGAAGGAGAATTGACGCTTTTGAGCTTGGGTGTTGGAGAATAGTGTTGAGGGTACCATGGACTGCTAAGAAAACAGATTCATCCTGGAAAGGGTTAAACCAGGCTACTCCCTGGAGGCAAGGATTCTGAGGCTTCGTCTGACACACTTTGGTCATGTTGTAAGGACAGACTGGTCCTTGGAGAAGGACATCATGCTTGGGAGGGTGGAGGGGAGGCACCGGAGGGGAAGGCCCACTGGGAGGTAGATTGATTCAGTGACTGGGGCAATCAGAATGAGTGTGTCGAAGACAATGAGATTGGCACAGGACACAGCAGAGTTTAGAGCTGTTGTACATAGGGTCGCTATGAGTCGCAAGCAACTCGATGGCACATAATAACAGCAACGACAACAGTATATTGGGACCCCCTAAGAACTCCTCTCACCCAACAGATGCAGCATTGTATTCACTAAATTATCAATAACTTCAAGAACTTAAGCCAGTAATACCTAAAATTAATGGTTACTTTTCCTATTATGTAGAATCTCATGACATACCTCTGGACCGACATTGAACTCTCCTCATTATCTAAACCTTTTCCAGCTACTTTATTTTAAGTGGTAGGACAAACATTCTAGGTACTGATAATACATTTGTAACCTCCCAGGCCTGTACCAACCTCGGGAATTCCATGTTTCCTAAGAAAAAAATTGGAATATTTTCTGCAAGGGTAGGCATTGAGTATCACCTGGAATATGTCAAATTCCAGATTCCTCGTTTGGAATTTGAGGAAAGCAACGATGATTGAGATGGCAAAAGATGCTAGAGGTCTCTTCTGAATTGAGTTGGAAGATGACAGGGAGAATTACTAGTTGAAAGGGAGACTTATATATGATGTCAGAATAGTGTGATTTTCTGTCTCCTCAATAGCTCTTCGGTATAACAAGAAAAAGGCCTGTTAGTTCCTAACCACTAAGCCCTAATGAAAAGCCATTCTGCATTATCTACGCCAAGTTTGTCAGTGCACACAATGTTCTACATGAGGTTCAAGCAGGTTGAACACAAACCCTCCCCAAAGTGCTGGCATCTAATGCCTGGAGCAAACACAGCATGGCCATTAAGCCAAATGCAATATGCATTACGCATTCACACAATCCAGAGGATTGTAATGATGACAGGGGCAAGGAAATTGGTGGGTAGGCGTGGTGAAGAGGAAGGGGGAATAGAGGCAAGCCATTTGTGGGTAGAAAAAAAATAAAGTGAAATAAAAACGCATTGGCAAACCTCCTGGTGCAGAGAAAATTAAATTGTTTCTCAGCTTTCCAAGACTTTCAAATTATACTCAATTACAAAAGGCAAATATTTATACACATTCACAACCTCTCTGCAATCCAGCCATCCCAGAAGTAAAATGTGTTGAGTTTTTTTATTGCAAGCCAATGCCCTTTGCAATGTCCCTGTTGCATCCTAGTAGGTCAGAAGGCATTTAGCGTGTCAAGTCTTTTCTGTCCAGGATTCCATTTGGAATCCCTCATGTTAAGTGCTACTGTAAGATAATAGTTCTTTCTTCTGAGTTTTTATCCCTGAGCCATAAACTTAATGGTTACTTCGGACAGATTCACTCACTTTAAATCCAGAGAAGTAAAGCCCTTATAACCTAAAAAATTAATAAAGAGACATTAGAATGACTATCAGGACTTGCTTTAACAATACCCTGAAGTTCAATTTAAGCTTGAAACTTTGAATATTCCTTACTGGAAAACAGCCACCTATATATCAAGTATCATAAACAATACACTTAGTCATAGGAAATATTTCTTCATAAGGAAATGTGCTGAATGTGCCAAAAAACAAAAATTTGTCAAGAGTCGTGAGAGATGTTCTTGTTGCTTTGAATGCACTAAAACAGCACAGAGTGGGGCAATTCCCAAGACAACGAGAAGTCTAAAAAAGTAAACATAAAAGTGCAGCCTTGTCCATCGTGGGAATTCTAAATTTTAGCAGTTGAAAGGGTTGGTGGTTCACTTTTCTTCTTAATCCCACGCGGCAATCAGAGTTTTCTCTTTGCGGTTTGGTCTGTCTCCATTCTGACAGGCCGGCATACTTAGTGTATAGTTGTAAAGATTTAAAGAAAAAAAAAATAGAAGAGTGCAGCAAGGATGGAAAGGTTAGGAAGCCCACAGGACTCTGCAGGTTATGCTGATGGGCAGAACAAAGACTTCTGGAACCCTCCTGTGATTCCAGATCAATATGAATCCACCAGAAGCTTCTCCAGAGTTTTGGAAACATTCTGTCACTTGAAGCACAGATGCCTCTGGCTTAAGAACCTATAACATATTAGCTAGCTTCTTCCTGCGACAATGCTTTTATCACGAGATCTTTTACAGAATTCAGTAGCAGGGTCTCCAATGAGTAGGATAGTTTTTCATGCTATGCAGATGGTTTAAAAAAATATCTGTGAACATGGTAAAAAAAAGAATTCTAAATCACCTTACAATAGTAAAAAAGTTTCAATTAAAAAGGATGTGAACAGTAATGTACAAACCTCTTTATTGTCAAAAGGGTTCTAAATGGGATTCAAGAGAGCTCTTGTGGTCTAGTTGTAAGGATTTGTACTGTCAATCCAAAGGCACTTGGTTCAAATCCACCAGTTGCTATGTGGGAGAAAGATGAGCAATCTCCTCCTGTGCAATTTTACAGCCTCTGAAAACTGACTAGAGGGTTAACTATGAGTGGGTTCTGACAAAACAAGAACAACAACAACGAGGCTTCTGTTGCTTCAACTTATTTCTTCTCATGTTGTTTAATTTATCTTGGCAGCATTCACTTCATGTAATAAGAGCAGAGTCTCTTGCTTACACCTAACGTAGCTCTCCAAATAAAAACTACCACACTGAGAAAATTTCTCGCAATGTTCATCATTGTTGCTTGCCATTAAAATATAATCTTGTAACGAAGTTATTTTAATAAACCGGTCAATGAACATATCTTGTTCTAAGTTGTTGTTCAGTAAACATCTTCATTATTTCTTGGGCAACTATGCAGAGGAGAAAGGAAAGATTTCATGGTACCTGGTAGACAATCAGTTTTGCCTTACTTGTTAAAAAATCTTAGGAACATCAGACAATATGTTTCATTTCCTGTGAACAGCCAAAATGGCTACAATTCTCTAAAGGTTTTAAAAATTAAATCTATATCTCAAAAAGGAGAAAGAAAATCAAGAGGGCCCTCATCAGGACTGATGATATATTTGTTTGTTTAAGCAAAAATCTTTGTTTAGAAACCCATTGACCAGTACCTGGCATGCAGTGAAAGGTTTAATTCTCCAGAGGAATGGGGGGATATCAAGGACAGAAATCTGAAGACTAAAGGTATTTCCTCTGAAATGCAGCAACTTTGGTTCTTCCAGTAGCTGTCCACCTTGATGCCTTTCATCTGAAACTACTTCCTATAAGAGAAAAGAAAAAAAGGAAAGAAAGAAAACAGGGTAATAATGAAGCATTCCATTTTTTCTACATTTGTTACCTATAGTTAACACATATCCTTACACCATGTATCTCCTAGATACAGACAAACCTGTATGCACTTTCTTTCTATTTCCCTTCTCATTGCAAGGGTCAGGACGAAAGACTAAAATTCAGATAGGCATTTGCTCAGGAAGAAGAAGAAAAAAATTCATAGCCTTTTATGTATGTTGTACCTTTCTTTGAAAGGAAAATAATTCTTGTTCCATATGAATTGTAATATGTTGAATTTTCACAATTGTGTGAATTATATTCTAATAAAACCAAGTAAGTCTTCTCACCTAACCTAACACAACACCATATATATCTATTTAAGTGTAGAAACCTCCACCTTCCAATCTGGTTCAATTGTCCTCTAGCAAAACAGGCATTATCTGATATTTATTGATTTCTTTTGATTAAAAAAATAAATGCTGAAGAATACACACATTTTTTAGTAATTTTAACAGAGTTATTAAATCAACAGGCCAAGAAAAATGAACTTGCTTATCGAGTTAGTTTTATCTCTGAAAAAAATTAATTCCTGAGGTATGTATTTTTGTATCTTTCAGTGAGAAATCTTTGCAGTTTTATCAAATATGAACATAATTCACATACATTTGACTGAGTATACTAATTGGTTTCACTTTTGTAGTGTTTTAGAATCACATTGGAGTGCTATAGGACATGTGATACAATAGAACATAATAATGCATTTTGTAAAGTGTGAGATAAGACAAAACTTTAAATGTTATTGTAGATTAGAAATCTTCCTAAATTCATTTTTAAAATCACTAATTGACTCACCATTTTCTTGAAGAAATAAAATAAATAAGAAAACAGAAATCCTTTAATTATGTCCTATAATCATCTCAGGTTGTAAATATAGACAAATAGGTTTATAAATACATAAAATTAAAATATAAATTATCAATGAATAGAAGCAGCCTTAGAGGTTATCTAAGGGAGCTCTTGTGGCCTAAGGGTAAGCAGCGGTGCTGCAATTTCAAAGGCATGGGATTCAAATTCACCAGCTGCTCCATGGAAGAAGGATGGGCAACCTCCTACCAAGTGGTTTGTTGCTGTTGTTGCTGTATACTGTAGAGAGGGACTGACCCATACCTGACCCTCCCGTGGGTTTTCAGAGACAGTTTTATTTGCACAGGAAGAGACTGACCATCTTTCTCCCACAGAGCAGATGATGGCCTCGAACCACATGCCTTTAGGATTGTTACCTTATCACTAGACCACCAGAGCTCCCTCTCCATGTGGTTTATCACCACTGAAAATCTGCTGGAGGGTCAGCTATAGGTTAGTTCAAACCTGAAGGCACACAACAACAGAGGTTATCTCACCCATCTCTTCTTGCCTACATTTACAATGATATTTCTGAGTAAGGAACTGTCTAGTTGTATCCTTTACATATACATGAACTTTTACTAGATTGTTAGGGTCTTTTTTTCAGGATTAAATTATTCCGTTCCAATGCCTTCCTTCAGCATTTCACTCTTAGAGCACAGAAGTGTATTTTAGGGATTCTTCAGATCAGTACAGTCCAAGAAAATTTTCTGTAATGTTGGAAATGTTCTCAATCTGCATTTTCCAAGATGGTGGACACAAGCCATGAGTGGCTATTAAGCATTTGCATATGGTTGAAGTAACTAAGGAGTCAAAATTTTCATTTTAATTCATTTTTCACATGTGATAGTGACTACTATTCTAGGTCACATTCCAGTAGGTGATTCATGATGTCGTGGGTTTAAGATTTGGGCATAGTAATGTAGCAATTCCAAAGAAGGGTGACCCAACTGAGTGTGGAAACTACAGAACAATAGTATTGATTTCACATGCAAGCAACCAAAGATTATCCAAAAATGACTGGAATCAGCAGAGAAGTGCCAGAAATCCAGGCTGGGTTTAAAAGGGGTCATGGTACTAGGGATATTGTAGCCAATATTAGATGGATCTTAGCTGAAAGCAGAGAATACCAGAAGAATGTCTATCTGTGTTACATTGATTATGCAAAGGCATTTGATTGAGTGGATCATAACAAACTGTGGCTGACTCTGAGAAGAATGGGAATCCCAGAACATTTACTCGTGCTAATGCGAAACCTATACTTGGACCAAGAGGCAGTCGTCAGAACAGAGCAGGGCAACACTGAATGGTTCAAAATTGGGAAGGGTGTA